TAAATTTAAATTCTTCATATTCATTTTGTAATCTATATTAAAAACTCATGATTATTCTTTCTAATAATATTATTATTCAAAGTTAAATTTTCTTTTTATAAATATAATATATATTTTTAGTACCAAAAATATATTTAATTAATTATACAAAGAAACGTCAGTCCAAAACACGAAAGTTGGAGAGCACTAGTTTTGTTGTCATTTCTCTTTTGGAGTCTCTCGAAGCACCAAATCTAGTGCTTCTTGAAACCCTACTTAAGCACCACCACAACCCTAATGAGCCACTAATACTAAAAAAAGGTGATGAAATTTCTCGACAACAAACAAAATATAACGAAAACAATAACACTGACCTAATCTAAAAAGCTAGCTAATCTCGAAATAATTTCTATCCATTGTTGTATTTTTTGAGTTTATCAAAATTTCTAAATAGTTACGATCTCTTGATATGATTCAATGTAAATTTCATTAATAGTTGATAATTTTTGTCGTATAATAGTCAGATCAGTTCACTTTACGTCTTTGTCGACATGTGGTGAATTTTTTTTAACTTGATATATGTTTTGAATCTAATGTCACGCCCCTAGAAATTTGGCCTGGGACATGTGTGCTTGAGACTGAGACAAAGGTTCTGAAGAAGGTATTAGGCGTGACTAATCCATTAGACTTGGCCCAAAATGTGGAAAGTGTAAAAGAGCCCGAGCCTGTTCATACTGACCATACAAACAAGGAAAGTGACATCTTGTCATATTGTGTCCACATAGGCAGCGCATATATGGAAAGAGACAACAAATAAGAAGAGATTGTGGGGGAATCTTACCATATCAAGTGTGATCAGCCATCCAAGGAAAAAATCAGACTAATTGATGTGATGAGATGGTGGTTTGGGTGTTTTCCCTTAAATACGGGATTTGATTATATGGTGATTGATAGAGTTTCCTTACATACAAAGATTTGTAATTAATAGGGCTCATCTTAGTCGTTGATGTTAGTCGTCTATTGTAAGAGGGTTCAATTATAAATAGAGGCATTCCCTACCATATTTGTACTCATTTCACTTTTCATTTCATTTGGTGGAATACAAAGAGAATTCACCCAACTTTCTCTTGTTTGTGTGAGCTATCTCCTTCCCAAGTTCTTTTGTGCTTCTGCATTACACTAAGCCTTCTAGGTTAGTGTTTTTCAGGCTGAATTAGGTGTAAAATGCCCAAGAGTGGTTCTGAAGCATCTAAGGTCGCACGTTCTTGAGTTTAAGGTTCCAAGGGCGTGACAAGTGGTATCAAAACAAGTCATTATATGAAGACAACGATTGTTTCGTACGTGTTTGGTGGAAGTGGTAAACCATGTAAGTTTGATTTACTTATTGTGTTGCCAATTTACTTTGGTAGTTAAGTTGGCAAGGATTTACACTCGAGCTAGTCAGGGGTGATTGAGCTAGTTCATGGCAAAGGAGTTTGAGATGGCAAAACCAAGAGCTGGAACTTTAAGGGAGTCGATAGATTCGGTAGAGAAAAGGGTCACTAGGTTGGAGGAATAGGAAAGCCAGAACCAATGGAAGGTTTAAGAGCTTCTCGACGAGTTTAGTGACAAGATGGTTCGTAAGTGTGAGTCGATTGGGGTCGACCGGCCGAGGTGGAGGCTCTAAGGCAAGAGATGAGTAAAGTCAAGAGCACAATGGAGGATATGTCTCAACACATCCTAAGGTTGGAGGTTACCAAGGAGGGACTCAGTGCAAAGACTAAATGAGTCATTAATGGCATGGTTGAGAAGGTTGATGAGCGGACTAATGGTATCGAGAGCATGTTTTTGGCCATGGAAGCGGACATGATGTGAGAAAAGAATGAGCTCTAGAGTGTTGTGTTGGTTTACAAGGATGCCGTTATGAATGGGGCGCTAGGAGAAGCACCAATGATAAAACCAAGGATTGATGTTCCGAAGCCGAAGGAGTTAGTTGAACCCGCTCGGCACATGTAGTTGATAACTTCATTTGGAGTATGGAGCAATACTTTCGGGGCATATGTGTTGAGGACAAAGTAACTAAGGTAAATGTGGCTTCCAATTACTTAACTAATAGTTGAGATAAGTTCAAAGTGGAGTTCAATGAATAATTATACCCCAAGAATGCCGAACATGAGGTGCGTAAAAAGCTATAACAACTTAAGCATAATGGTTCCATTCAAGAGTATGTGAAATGATTCATAGAACTTAATCTGGAAATCCCGACCATGAGCGAATATGAAGGATTCTATGCCTTCATGGTCGGACTACAACAATAGGTCGAGATTGAGATCTAACGAAGATATGCCCACGACCTTTATAAAGCACTAATAGTAATCGAGACCATAGCACAGTTCGAGACTGTGAAGAGTGAGACAAAGCCGAGATACAAGGGCAATGGTGGGGGAGATAGAGAGAAGTCATCCGAAGAGCATCAAAAGGGCGAGGGAATGCCAAGGAGCGGAAGATCCAAATAATTTCATATGAAATGCAAGTTCATATCATCTAGTGACAAAGACAGAGACCGAGAGATAAACAAATAATATCTCACGTGCTATATTTGTGGGGACAAGCATATGTAAATAAATTTCCCAAAGAGGGACAAGTTAACTGCCATCTTAAGTCAGGAGGATGAGCTAGAGGTAGCCACACTTGGCATAATTAGAAGCATCAATGCGACTAAGCTGAAAGGAGAAGTTGAGCAACCGAGGTACCACTAAGGTGAGGGGTCACATGGTTATAGGGATTGAGCCAAGATATCCAGAAGAAAGAACAATCCCAAAGGTGATGAGGCTATGAGGCTTGGCACAATGGTAGTGAATTTTGCGAAGGAAAGTAGAGGCCAAGAGCAGAAAGGGTCGATGTATTTAGATATCATCATTAAGAAATGACTGAGGAGTGCTCTAGTATACATTGAGCAACTGATTTATTTATATCAAAGAGAGTTGTCGACATTCTTGATCTCCAAGTGGAGAAAGAAAATATGACGATCAAGACCGTCAATTGCAAACCAGTGCTGATTATTGGAGTGACGAAGATGATAAAACTGTATATTGGTGAATGGAGGGGCATGGAAGATTTAAAGGTGATCCCATTGGATAACTTTGACTTTGTTGTTGGGTTGAGTTTTCTTGAGCGGAATCAAGCTCTTATCCTTCCCCACCAAGACACCATACATATCTTGGATCAAAATTGGCAATGTGAGGTGGCAACATATCGAGACAAAGGAAAAGGGACCAAGGCACTGATGGCTATCTAGGATAACGAGGATGTTCCAAAGAAGGCGAACATCAAGGAAGGAACGAAGGGACCCAAGCTTTGGAAAGACATAGAGACACCACCAATGGGTGAGGTGGTAGAGGCACCGAACTTCAAGGTAGAAGAGTCGATGTAACAAGGGGCACTGAACTTCAAGGGAGAAGTGTCGATGCATAGAGCATCAGACTCCAAGGAAAAATAAGGGTTGATGCATTTTTGGGTGAATGCAAGCGAAAGGGACAAGGTACATCTCGAACACAACTCTTGTGTTGTTAAGTCTAATTTACCATCTTCATATAATCTAGGCCGAGGATGACCTAACCACAAAATGGGAGTAGTTAAGGTTGGAAGATACCGAGGGAGTCATCCAAGCCTTTGCCAAAAGATTGAGGCAGTCCGTTCGGAGGCAAGTGTAGACGAGTAGATGGGGGTTCCTACAATCAAGATATACGCAATTAGACAAAATAGTACAAGGTTACATGGAGGTAAAAGCCAAGGCAAGCAGACCATATAGGGGGGCCGCAACAAGCCAAGGCACCAGGAAGGAACCGAGATCGACAAGTCCAAGTACATTCCAATGGTGCGACAAGGGCGTCGCTAGGTTTAGTGAGGGAGAATGTAACGTCCCCAGAGATCAGGCCCGAAACATGTGTTTTTGAGACCGGGACATAGGTTCTCAAGAAGGTGTTGGGCGTGACTAATCCATTGACTTGGCCCAAAATGTGGAAAGTGCAAAAAGGACCGAGCCTGTTCACACTGACCGTACAAACAAAGAAAGTGGCACCTTATCAGATTGTGCCCACATAGATAGTGCATATATGGCAAGAGACAATAAATCAGAAGAGATTGTGAGGGAATCTTTACCATATCCAGTGTGATCAACTATCCAAGAAGTAGTCTCATGATATGTTAATCCAATACATTATCCTCTACCATGTACTCGTATGTTAATTTATCAATATCTCATACTTATAACAATGCTTATCATCAATTAATAGCATATCTCAATACATTATTATTGTCTTGGCTTATAATAATAATTGACAAGGGTTTTAACGAGACCTTTATTCTATTAAAAAAATATTTTAACGATTTTATTATCTAATAAATTATTTAATATATGGAAATATAATTACCTTTAATTTATAAAATATGACAAATAATATTTATCTGAATCATTTCACGTTTTAAACATACTCCGATAATAATTTCTTAGGACCCTAATGTTAATGATTTGATTTACAATATTTTATAGTTAGATAATGAAAAATAAACTCAGTTGATCTCTCTCTATAGAACGATTCTAATTCATTTAATAGTTCAAAGTTTGAAACCCTATGAGAACTAAAAGAATCAATTGTATATACTAGTAGCAAAGTATTCGACCAATATGCATCACATCTTTGGTCATTGGACAAGACATTTTTCACTTCGTATTCACATGAACTATGTTATATAAATGGGTTTACATCTAAAATTTATCTAATATTATGTTTGAGTATAATAATTATTAATATATAATTTATTGATTGATTTATTTAGATCAAATATTACATAGGTTTATTATTAAAATTTGAATTTTTAATACTGTTTGAAGGAACCAACATCTCATTTTATTACATCAACTAATACTCGCTATTATTGAATTTATATATTTAGGCAATGGTTAATTACGAAAAGAGAGTGCAAGTTGACCCTTTAACATTGCCTATAAATCTGTTTGCTCTAACTTGTTGCCACTCGTGCACTTGTTTTGAACTCTCAAGATAATATTTTCAGCACTCTCTCATTTGCTGTAATCTTCCATCTTTTGGGTAGTTTCTAAGCCTTCATACCGTCATTCTTTGAACAACAAAGGTAAGATTTCCCAAGACAACATTGATTACTGTTGTTTATTGAAATGAAACATTTGTTTTGTTTTTTTAACTTCAAAAGGTTGCTGTTTTCTGAAAGGTTAATGATGATGAGAGTTTCACTGTCTTTGTGCAAAGAAACGGTGTCGTCTTTACTGGACATACCATCTGGGTTGCTCAAATCGGACTTCTTTTGTCCTACGCGACATAAAGAAAAGGTTGTGATCCTAATGGGAGCAACCGGAACCGGCAAATCGAGACTCTCGATTGATCTCGCCATTCGGTTTCCAGCGGAAGTAATCAATTCAGATAAAATACAAGTCCATGAAGGGCTTGACATAGTCACCAACAAGATCACTGAGGAAGAACAGTGTGGTGTTCCACACCATTTGTTAGGTGTGATAAATCCCAATGCAGATTTTACTGTAACAGATTTCGTCGACATGGCTTCACACGCCATGGATTCGATCGTGTCCCGAAGCCAGCTTCCGATCATAGCCGGCGGCTCGAATTCGTTCATCGAGGCCTTGGTTGATGACAAACACTTTCGGTTCCAATCGAGATACGAATGCTGTTTCCTTTGGGTAGACGTAGCAATGCCAGTGCTACATCAGTATGTATCAGACAGAGTAGATAAGATGGTTGAGAATGGGATGGTTGATGAGGTCAGGAGTTTCTTTGATTCCAACGTCAATTATTCAACGGGGATCGGGAAAGCCATCGGAGTCCCCGAATTCGACCGGTACTTCCGAGCCGAACGGTTCTTAGACAAACGAGGCCGTTCTAAACTGCTGCAAGAAGCAATCCAAGAAATCAAAAGAAACACTTGCAGACTAGCTTGTCGCCAATGGGAGAAGATTAACCGGTTGAGGAACCAGAAGAATTGGAAGATACACCAGCTCAACGCAACCGAAGCATTTCGTAGACACGGCGGAGAAGCCGACGAGGCATGGGAAGAGCTTGTAGCGGGTCCAAGTACAGAGATCGTAGCAGAGTTTGTATATGATATCAGCTCTAAGGCACTACTCACTAGCCCTGCAGGTGCCATTAGAGTCCCTTGTGGTATAATGCTGTAAAATCATATCTGACACAGGAATAACTAGTAAAGCTATAGATTTCAATGTTGAAAAACATAAAATAATGGAGATTTGCTTCTTAATGGAAGTCACTTTTGGGGGGAAAGAAAGATAGATTTCATGGCCCCTGCCATTAATGATATGAAAGCAATTTTTGTTTTTCCTTTTTGGCGTCTCATCAGTTTAGATGAGATACCATTTTCTTTATATATGTACATATTACTTGTTATATCAGAAAGACAGAAACTACAGTTTTGGTATTTCATTGATCTGTAAAATACATTTCTTTTGTTCAAAGCAAATCATTGAAACAACTTGGGATCATATGAATAGCCAGCAAAATGAAACTGAGATTCATCTACTAGATTAGTGCCCGTACAGTTGGAACGCACTGAAATCCAGGTGTTGACTCCTTTTGACTTGGTTGTAAGCTTTTAGTGGGAGAAGTTGGCGCTGTTGGATGTACACGCCTGCCGCCCGGCTGGCTCATGCATGCACCCATGGCTAGCTTACCTAGGGCGCTAGTTTTTTTTTTTAGTTGGCACATCAAGGTAATAAGGTCGTTACACTCGCAGGACCAAGGACTCGTGTTAATAAATAAACGAGAGATAATTTGAGTGACATCTTCTTATGATATATGTTCTGATGTATTTTTAGTCTATTGACAATATACACATTTTATAAATATAAATGCTTAACACTTATCTTTACCGCTGATGATATTGAATAAATTCAAAATCTATAAAATTTTAAATTAAGTAAATTTATAATTTTATTCTTAAAAAATTGTAATATTTATATCTCAAAACCGATCGTGAATCCATAACCGACATCATAGCTAGTTGCTGCTTAATTCGGATTCTCTCACGGCCATATTTGTCAAAAGAAAAACAGACTGGAAAGTTTTGATATTAATTAACAAAAAAATATGCAACATAAGCACTGTATTGATACTGATATTCGCCACTAACTATGAGCAGTTTTTGCTAATTTACATATAAAATACTAATAAATTATATCATTAGCCACTAAATTTTAGATTTTGTATAGAATTTAGTACTAAACTTTGAAACGTTTCATTATCATTGAATTTTAATTTATGTTTCAATTAAGATATTGGAATGTGAAATTCGAAAAGATACGATAATGTGGCAATTTGGTGCTGATGAGGAAGTCAAAAATAATATTTTTTATTTTACCTCAACATCGTCTTTATCAAAATTATGGTTTTTTACTCATTTTTTATTATTGTTGGAATCCGTCATTTTCATTTGGTCACCCTAATCCCTAGACATTGATGAACATGCCTCATCGTCTTAAATCACTTTATCAATTTAGATTTTCAATACCTCTTTAAAACTCACAAAATTTATTACATAAAAATCTACTTATTTTGGGGTTATGATTTTTTCCCGAATTTGAGGGGTTTTGGAAGTTTGTTCAAAAATTTGAACAGGGAGAAGCGTTCTTTCAAGGAGATGAACAACCTAAAGTTTAATAATTTAGCAATCTAATACACTAATTGAATCGCAAACTAAAGTTTAATATTAAAATTGAAACACTTTAAAGTTTAATATTAAAATCAATATATAGCATAAAGTATGATGACTAAAGATGTAGATTATCCTAATAAAAAGTTTATATATAATATTACTTATTTATGGTCAATGACAGTCTAAAGAATGTAATAAATTCTTCAAAAACGCAGTGCCTTTTATCTTTGATTATTTTACTCAAAAGCCATTTTTTTTTATTAAGGGATTCTAAATATAGTACATGAAACAAAGGGATCATTTGAATGTGATTTGAGGCTTGACCCCCTCCCTACTTTTTAATATAGGCTACTTTTACAAATAAAGGGGGTTATTGATCCACTAGGCCTCACACTCACATATAATATATAGTTTCAATATCCCAGTGGCATAAATAAAAATGTGCCATTGGACCCACAAACGAACAAGAAAACGAACTAAGAAATCAACAATTTTCTTGGGCATTTACTCTTCCTCCTTTTCCTTCCATCTTCTCACTTCATATATCATTTAGGGTTTGTTTTTCACGAGAGAATCAATGGTGGTGGAGAAAAGGAATGTCAAAGTATGGATTGAAAACCTTGAATAAAATGCAATTTATATTATCTAAATCCCAAGATGAGTTTCAAATACTGTGTATATATCTCTTGCGAATATGTTTAATATTTTTATATATTTGAATGTGTATAACGAATACTGACAAATTCCGATAATATCCGTGAAAAGAAAACGCACAACCGGTTGAGCTTTGACATTAAAATAGATACATGTGTATATAATATATTCTTTAACCCCAAAGAGAAAAGGATGGTTTCTCCAACCTACAAAGTTGCCCAGTGGTCCAATAGTTGGTTTCGGCGGCGGATTATTTTAAATCAGACAAAAGCTTGAGGCATATGGAACAACATAAAACCCACCACCCTACCACTTATTCTTGTGTTCTGCTATAGATAGTAATAAAAAAAAAACTATGCCCATTTATTAAGATATTCCCCCAAGTAAAGATGATAATAGCAATATATCTTTGCATCAAACTCGATATCCATAAGTTACATAAGAAAGTATCACAATAAAACGATGTTGTTTTATTCATATCATCTTATCGTGTGAACGGAACATTGATTTAAAAAAATTAACATGATAATACTAATATATGTTTGCATGAAAGTCGTTATCCATAAGTTACATAGAACAAAGAGAATGAAGTGAAAATCATGGTGATCTTAGTCTTCCTCCACATGAGAAAGTCACACTGCAGGCTTCTCCGACACTGACAATGTATCGATGCAGAGGCCACGACAGGAAGAGAGGCAAGTGTGTTAGAATATCGCACACACATACCGTCTCCACCATCTTCAGCCATCGGCAACAGTAGCCTTGTTCGGGCGAGATCCCCTTAGGCTTATCCCTATGCTTGTGCTTGTGCCTGTGCCTGTCTCCTTCCCGCCCCGTGCCATTTCCGTCTCCTCGACGACTACTTCTAGTTCCATTTCTACGTCCGTTTCCTTCGTCCGTTGCATCGGACGATTGAAAAGGCGACGGGACTAACAGGATCGTTCCGCACGCGAAGTTCACTAGGGTCAGTTGGGAAGCGCATAGCGGACGGAGGTGGGGCGGTGGTAGTTCTCGCCTTGGTGGCATTATAGGCAGTGGAGTAGGCAAGGCCACGAAGAACATCGAGACGAGAAACAGTATCGGAATCCCAGCCCTACTCATTATGCACCGGTGAAGCAGGGGGGTTTTGGGGTTCTCACCATTGTTGTTACTTCAATTTATATAATCTCTTGATTTCATGAAGTTGGTGCTTTGTTTAATTTGAGGCAACTAAGAAGATTAAACAACAGGGGTGACAAAGTGAATGAGGGATGGTTTGTTGACGCTAATTAGAGAAGTTAGGTTCTCAAAGAGTTTGATTATTATTGGCATTCCATTCATAGAGTGTGAAGACTTTGTTAGGTACCAAATTGTTGAGACTTTTAAATATGGATCCTCAGAAATTGAATGTTTACTGAAATTGCATGAGATGGTATTTCCAAAACAAATGTAAATTTGGTGATATAAGCCCTTATACTTTATTCAAATGATCAAATCAGATATGAATAAGCGCTTAAACTTTGATTGATATCTAAATAAGTACTTAATCTTTAACGTGTAAAAGTAGGCTTTTGTCTTTAATATAAATTCACAAATATAAAAAAAGTCCAAAATTCCTAAATGATACATATATTTTAAACTAAAATTACTCTTAAGATATTTCATTTTATATACAATGTATTCATCAACAAATTTTTAATTAGTATACGAATAAAACTTAAAAATAACTAAACCATAAAATATAAAATATAAAATCAAAACTATAAAATCCTAAACCAAAACTATAAAACACTAACATTAGATTTCAAAAGACAATTTACTATTTTTTTTAAAAAAATCTAAAATGTATATTCCGTTAGCCACGTTGTTTATTTGAACCAATAAAATATTTTTTTATGTATTTAAACATTTCACGGCAGATAAAGATATACTCTACCGTTTATATAAAAAAATTGTCATTTCCATAAAGTAGTTAAAAGAAAATATTATTTTTTTTAGAGGTTTTAGGTTCGAGCAGTGAAATTCGTATGATATATGTGTCTATTTACACTTATTATCAATTAATTATAATTTTTTTAAATAAATATTTATAATTATTCTGTACTAAAATAAATTTACAATTGTGTAACTAATTTGTAAGAGTATTTTTTTATAATATATAAAAAAGCCTGAATTGAGGTTGTTGTCGGTTTGACCCATAGCAGCATTTTGGGCCGATAATGGGGTTTCCCGAACAAAAACAGCAGCAAAATTCATTATTATAACGTAGAAATGGAGACTGATTTTATAAATAACAAAGCTCTCAACTCTAATTTGACCGCTGTTCACGTCTCTGATCTCTCTTTTAAAAAATCTCTAACGTTGCTGTCCCTTTGTCATTCACTCGTAAGTCGTACGCGTCGCACCGCACCCCAACCACTCAGAAAATCAAACAAACAAAAAGCAAGACCCTTCACCGGGAATGCTGTTGGGAAACGCCAGAGCCGTAGCTCGGACATTCATGGCGTCGCCGTCGCCCAAGGACATCGTCTTCGAGCCCGATGACATCCCTTTCGGCTCCTTTGAGTGGTTCTTCTTTGCGGGAATTTCCTGCTTTCTCGTGCTCTTTGCCGGCATAATGTCCGGTCTTACCTTGGGATTGATGTCTCTGAGTCTTGTTGACCTCGAAATTCTACAGAGAAGCGGAACTATCACCGAGAAGAAGCAAGCTGGTAAATTCCTATTTCGATTTTCCACAACTAGTCCGAGTAATTAAATACGCTGACTTTACTGTTTCAAGTTATAGAATTTTGATATCATAGACCAGAGTGAAAACCCATAATTTCTTTAGCCTTGTTTAATGCCCAATTATTATAATTTATTGACATCATTGCATGTCTGCAGCTGTTATCTTACCAGTTGTTAAAAAGCAACGTCAGCTTCTGGTAACTTTGCTTCTGTGTAATGCTTGTGCCATGGAGGTGAACGTTTATATTTTGTTATTAAAATTATTGATGGTTTTAATGACGCCATATATATATATATATATATATATATATATAGTTGGGTAGCTAATAGCATTTCTTTTGCTTATCCTTATCCTTATGCTCTTGATTTTGTGTTCTTGCTGGCTCTTCCTATAACACTTGATAAAATGTTTCACCCCTTTGTTGCAGTGTTGCTGTCTGTTACTTTTGTTCTGTTTTTTGGAGAGGTATTACATTTTGTGTTTCTTAATGCTTCATTCTCAGCTATATAAGCCTTTTGAAGGGATTTATTTACTTTATATAAGTCCTTTTTTTGGATCAGATAATTCCACAAGCAGCATGTTCGAGATACGGACTCGCTATTGGTGCGAATTTTGTGTGGCTCGTGCGTATTTTGATGATCATTTGTTATCCCATTGCTTACCCAATCGCAAAGGTAGTATCCCGTCGTAATTCCTTGACTAAAAATTGTGATTATAGTATTCTACTGGCATTACTTGGATAACGAGGTAGCTTCCCTTTTGAGTTTATACTACTTCAATCACCTCGAAAGCATTCGTGTTTGGTTAGTAAAAGGGTTGTTGTTCAATACGATTCTAAGTGTTAGTAGGTCTTTTAGAGGATTTGCATTGAGCAAAGTAACAAGTTCTAATGAATTCAGTAGTGTGCAAAGTGCCTTGGAACCTTCAGTATTTGATGCCTAAATCTTGATACCTTTTTACTCCATTCAGTCCAATTATATTCTGGATACCCCTAGGTATATGATATTCTTTGAGAGTTGTGGTTTCTTGGATGTTGAACTCTGTTAGAGGTTTTATACCACAAACTTCTGAAATAGCATTCCCTTTTCTACTTATTCTCCTACGTTCTTGGGAAATATGGCTTTAGGTTTTGGATGCTGTGATCGGTCATGGTGATGCATTGTTTAGACGGGCTCAATTAAAAGCCCTTGTCTCCATCCACAGCCAAGAGGTAACTGCTTAAACTAGACCAGATAATATTGCTGAAGTAAGTTGTCTTTGTTTCATTTGAACTTCCATTGACTTGTCATTTGTGTCCTTTATAGGCCGGCAAAGGTGGTGAACTAACACATGATGAGGCAACCATCATTAGTGGTGCACTGGATTTAACCGAAAAGGTAAATGTTGTTATTGGAATTGAATTCCATTAGTAAATGTTGTTATTTGATAACACACTATGAACAAGTACATTGAAATCTGGATCTTATTTATGCAAAAGCAGCTTGATAAAACATACAAACACTAAATCTGTTATAATCTAAAGAAATAAACTAAAGAAGAGAGAAAGAATAAAATAGGTAGTGAAAGAGAAATATGATTATTGAATTTAGGAGATTTTAGTAGTTTAAATAAACTGAATTGTTGACTTCTAATAGGACTTATCTGCTAAAGATAAAATTCTATCTAGAGACAGAGAATACAAAGATTTCTAAGACTTGTCCTTTTTTTTATCATAAAAGACTCCTAAACAAACAAGACTTCTACACGGTTGATTCTAACAAAAACTAACTAGTTCTAGTTGCGAAATAGTAACAGATCTTTTAATTGGAATTTGGACAGTGAACACCTGCCTCTGACGTTTTGGAAACTTCCCTGTCCAAAATGCTTAGGTTGTAATCTGCAAGGTTTTGATAGCCTTCTAAAGGTTCTAAAGCTGCCCCCTCCCCCTCTCTCTTCCTTTTTGAAGTGCTTGGCCTTTTTGAAGTTTATTACTTTCATTTTTAATTTCCCACTTTTATATAGCTCAGAAGTTGATAAAAGTCCATTGCCAGAGTCTTTTGTAAAATGGGTGCAATCATGATGCTTCTTGTACATGCAGACTGCAAAGGAAGCTATGACACCCATTGAATCAACATTTTCCTTGGATGTTAATTCGAAATTGGATTGGTTAGTTTCATCCGGATGGTGTTGTTTCTGTTATCACATCATTTTTGTTTCTTCATCTAGCCATTGAAACAAGTTAGAGGTGACACACACTCCTATTGCTTTGCTATTCTGGGGAAAGAAAAGAGTAAAAAACTGAGAACATTTCTATCTGTATATTTGAGGAAAGGATTGAATTTAATTTGTACCTTATATTGGTAAGATGCAAACTAGGCATGCTAGAAGTTTAATAAGAGTTTATGTGGAAAATGAATTTTCTTATGAGTGGTGGATCTTGTGATAGGTGGACTTATTTTCTAGTTGGTTCTGCAATTTGGAATATTACAGTTTTAGGCTTAGATTAAGAACCCTATCCTAATGTGGAGCATACCTTCTTTTACTTCTTTAATGCTTTTCCTGCCGCTTCTTTTAGCATGACACTATTGGAACATGATTGACTTTAAAGATCATCCCCTCTCGGTGTTAAAATCCTAAGTGCTTCATTCAATATTAGTATCGGAGTTGGGTCATAAATCGATTTATCTGCCTTTGGTGCAGGGAGTTGATTGGAAAAATTCTTGCACGTGGTCATAGTCGTATCCCTGTCTATGTTGGGAAGCCGAAAAATATCATCGGGTTGTTACTGGTATGTTAAGTTACCCATTGGCTTTCCAATGGTTTTCTTTATATTGAAAGTTACTGGTCGCAGTTCAACATTGAATTAAATTTTCCTTCTAAAGATTCTTACAAATTTTCCTTTGCTATGAGATTTAGGTGAAAAGTCTTCTCACAGTACGTCCGGAGACTGAGACACCAGTTAGTGCTGTTTCCATTCGCAGAATTCCTAGGTATATACATGTAATACCATTGTTTTTTTATTTCTCTCTATACATGAAGAAAGTATGACTTCTCATGCATCAACATCTCAGGGTTCCAGCACATATGCCTTTGTATGATATCCTCAATGAATTTCAAAAGGGAAGCAGTCATTTGGCAGCTGTAGTGAAGGTTAAAGGAAAGACCGAAGACCCTCAATACCTTGATTATGGAGAGAAATTTGATGAGCATAGAGTTACCAATGGGAATTCTCAACTAACAACCCCTTTGCTGACCAAATATGACATTAAACCACAGTGTTATTGATGTTGAGAAACCTAGGCCTATCACGATCAAGACAACTCTTCTACCTAATGGTGTCACAGCCGGTACCTTGCAGCAGTTTTCAGAGGATACCGAAGATGGGGAAGTCATTGGTATTATTACCCTAGAAGAT